GTCATTACAAAATACGGAACTATGTGATAACCAATGGCTCTTACCCCCTTCTTGTACTGTCCCAGAAAAATTGATTAATCGATTAATTGCAAAAAGGGGCTGGCGGGCCTTCTAAGTTCTACTCCAGTCACGTATGCTCCAAGACTAACTGATTGATTGAAATGATATAGCTGACGGACCTTCTATAAAGAACGAGAAATTCTAATTCAGGAGTTCAACTCCCTTAATACATGGCCCCACATCAACTGATCAATCGATTAATTAAAGAGGTGAGCTAAGGGGCCTTCTTATAAGAACCAGATATTCTAATTCGGTAGTTTCACTCCCTCCATGTAATGCTTCCAGACCCTACTAATCGATCTATCGATTTTTTAACAATTAAAAACCCATAAAGAATGGATAACATCTAAAATCCGTTGATGCATATTAATCAACAGTTAACGGTGAACTTTAACTGATTTTTTACTCAATGAATATTAATCATATTAATCAATTTTACAAGATAGGGATATTGACGAAATAATAACAGGTCGCTGACTAAAATGAACATTATTGATTACTTCCATGTTCCCGGATGTAGTTCAAATTAAGGTACTATTTTTATTGACATTTTAAGTGATGACAGATTATTCAGATAGATTAAGTTCATTAACATCCAATCTGTACTCTTTTATGTTATTAATTTGAATAAAGAAACATAAAAAGGTTGTCCCGGGTGTTTTCTCTCATTACAGAATTGAAAGGCTATGTTGTACAGTAAGTCATTTCATTGCTTATTACTTTGAAGTTCGATGCCATTCAATCAGCGAGGGAGAGATATGGTAGTCATATTCTGGTTCAGATCTAAAATTTCGACATCACTGGCGAAGGATTGGCTATATGTAAATTTCGTGTACTAACATGCCACAAGTCTATAGTGAACGATCCAAGTCTACAGTGTACGGCACAGGTCTACAAAATAGTACTTTCGGAGATTACCAATGATATTTTTGACAGATTCTGCGTTCAAAACTCGAATATAAATGGGTTCAAAGATACTTTGATTGCACCTACGAGTAGCACAACAGGTTGTAACCAAAATATTGTGTAACACTATCTTAGTGATAACAGAGATCAGTTTAGTAAATACATCAGGTATATAAAACAGCTACAGTTACATACATACAACATGAACTAAACTACATCGGGAATCAGACTCTTACAGGAAAACATATAACAATATTAAATCCACCATTCCGCCCCTCTGCTAAGGCAGCGGCTGAAATCGGGCGAGTCCATACGCCGAGCTCGCCGTCTCTCTCTGCTCTGTCGTCTTTAGTTGTCTTTAGTCGTATTTTTAGTCGTCTGCCTAACGGTCGGCAAACTCCTCGTTATATACCGTCGGGCAATAGATAAGACACATGGTCATACATGCAATTGTCTCTTACTGACCAGTGCGTATTCCTTTGAAGTAACGTGGAGTGTGTGCACAGGTCATATGTAGTTTGTAAATGACATATGGGATTAATTACATGTTTAATTAGATCATAACCAGTTCGTGCATTAACAGAAGTTTATACAGAGTTGAAACGTCAATACCATATATTATCAAAAAAACAGCTGAGGTCATAAAGTTCTAAGCACCTAAATGATCATTCAATTTGATTAAAGTTATAGAGTACTTTGTTACAATTGCCGCAATGTCCAGGTCCAGTATTTTGAAAATCCTATGGACGGTCTCGGAGGGCTTCGAACCCCGGGCCTCGTTGGGCCTCAATACCATATATTATCAAAAAAACAGCTGAGGTCATAAAGTTCTAAGCACCTAAATGATCATTCAATTTGATTAAAGTTATAGAGTACTTTGTTACAATTGCCGCAATGTCCAGGTCCAGTATTTTGAAAATCCTATGGACGGTCTCGGAGGGCTTCGAACCCCGGGCCTCGTTGGGCCTCATCACTCTCACTAGAGGATGGAGTCCTCGGTCCGACCATTTTTCGTGGGGGCACCCTGATGTTGGGCGTGGACTGGGACCCACCATGGGGCGTGGTTAATCCTGCGCTCGGAAATCTTCCCAGTGTGGAAAATGGTACAGGGCCTATTTTAACGTGCCTACAGACACGGGCGTGCCTCGAAATGAAAAATCCGTGCTTGGAGAATCTAAAATTCATACTTTGAAAAGATGGTAAAATGGTATGTTATGTATCCTTGTGAATCTGAAAAGATCGCATGAGGAAATTTAGCAAGTGTGTCATTAACAATCATTGTGATCATCAATCAATGCGTTTGGTTTCGATTCAATTTCGTGGATTGTATGTAAATGTCGAAAAATAAAGCAGTTGTTGACGCAAGTAGTCAGCTCCATGTTACAGTAAAGGTTCGTCTGCTTTTGGGCGTTTCTTTGGGCTGCCAATGATACCGATACGCAGCTATAAATACAAATGTCGATAGTATGCAAATTTAAATTTAGGCCTCAATTGTTGACCGTTTTAGATGTTGAGGATCAAAAGATCTTGGTTGAATTAGATTTTGGTGCATCTGCTTGGATTATGGCCTTACATACACAGAGCGTAACAAAGTTTGTGAGCTTTATATTGTGATGAATTGAGAACACGGGAGCAAGAATCATACCGATAATCAGCATTCCGCGACCTTCTGTTCCGGAGTTAAGCCCCCTGGAAAACCTTGTGGAAGCGACAGGGGCTTGCGTTTTATTTTTTCACATTTGATGTGAAGCATTGGGTTCATGAGACGACAAACCCCATCGAGTTACCAAACTTTGCCAAAAACCTTGTGAACGCGATATAGGCTACAGTTTCATATTCGATGTGCAGCATTGGGACAATGAGAGGTTGAGCCCTATCGATTTTCCCTGTTCCCTATCCATATCTTACAGAATCTCGGCGTATCGTGTATGCTAACCGCTTGTTTTGTTTTAAAAGTGTAAGCGTGGTGATAATTCAGGAAGTTTTTATTTCACTTCTGGTGAGCCTTTGTTTTGGTCATAACTAATTTGGTCAAGATTTCAGAAGGTTTATTCCAACACATAAGAGCTAATAACGGTGATGGAAGAAGCTAAATTGAGCTACCAAGTTCTGTGTGGAAAATCGTGAGTCATGTTTTGGAAATTTTGTCGGAAACCAAAGCGGGGACACCCAGTCAAAAAACTTCCATCTCCGGAAACCGTGCTTCGTCAATAAAACCTTAAAATAGGCCCTGAACTGGTATTGAAAGAGTGTTACAGTTATCTGCCTCACTACGTGGTGTGAGCGGGCCTTTAATAAAATTTACTCGCAAAAATCAATAATGAGACCTAAATTTTGGTGCGACCTGGTGCGACCTTTCATAATACATGTACTCGGTATCATATTTTATAGTATTTGTATAATCGCCTTCATTAATTGATTTGGATGATAAATGACCCTTGTAAATATATCGATTGTGATTTAAAAGCGATATGCAGTGATCAATCGTTTTAATAATAGAACTATGAGTCGTTGTCAATACGTGGTTCAATTACTTAGAAATAGCTACCTTATAACTGCTCCATAAACATATTAAATTGATAGAAAAGAACAAAATGGAATTTAATGTCTCGTTAACACATTCTTTGAGACTAACATATTATGATCATTTGCATTTCACTGGTTGTGTCATAGAGAGAGAAATGGGGTTTAAGGTCCACTCGACACAAACTAGGTAATTTCGGGACTAACAAATGGTTCAATTTTATTTCAACAATTCGCTTGTAGGGGTCTTTAGCAGAGGACCCGGAGAAAACCCACGCGATTGGATAGACGACCCTATTCCTTGTCATGTACAACCGGGTAATCAAAACCACGTCAGTTGACTCAATGACAGACCTTATGATACAGCGCGCACGTGCTAACCATTCGGTCATTCACCCCACCCCACTCACCCTTCACTTGTTGTGTGCAGTACGACTTGGTGGTGATAGGAAGGGTGGGGTAATTTCGTTTTAATACACTCTTCTTTGAATTAGATGCACGATAATGTGCACTTTGACGCACTTTCCGTTTTAGCCCCTGGCAAGTGGATGTTTGGCTTGAAAAAATCCTTAGGTTCTTTGCGGTCCACATCGGGACTCGACCCCGTGACATATAGAGCACAGGTCACGGACTCCCGGAATGAGTTACTGAAAATGGCTTCAAAAAGTTTAAAGATACATTATGGGAGATTAGATAAAGAGCTGGCAGTTCTCACTTTAATAGTTAAAAACTACATAATGTAAACGGAATTTGCTGAAAATTTCAGTCAAATTGATCCACTCTGAACCGAAATTTTAGCGATTGCATTTTCGGCCTAGCCTCGATCATCATTACTAAAGTCGGTACGATAAAAAACATAGTCTCGATTATCCATTTCATGATTAAATCATGAATGTAAGTTGAGCAGCAAATCTGATCGTAATCCAGTAAATGTTGCAGGCTAGCGATGCCATCGAGAGTTGGTTATAGTCTGGATAAGTTAAATAATGTCTTATTAATAATTTAGATAATATTTCAGGCCTAAAGAAAGAACTGCAATAGGCAGATTTAGCTCTTGCATAATGTATGTTTAAGGTACCCATATCTATAATGTGGCATTTCCGCATGTAGAAAATCGAATTCATCCACTGGATTACGATAACTGTTTAGAATATAGAGTTCTACTGATATTTTTGGACCACGGACAAGTTGCAAACAGTTGAAATTTTATCTTCATCTTATTGTTGTTATTCGTTCAACGACGCTCCGCCAATTGGAGTACGATCAAAACGAAACTTGGCATGCTCGCCTTGTGACAATTGCGCATTGATTGACGGACTTCGGTAATTCCAAGACGGCTGCGAACGGTAAAAACTGGTTGCCGTTTCACCTTATAGGCCGATTTATTTCGTTATTATCCTTCTAGACGGTAATAATATTGGAGAGGGTGGCGATGACGTCATGCTCGGTTCCTGTTTAATAGTGTACGTCCCTACTCGTTATTTTATCTAAGAATTAGTCAAGGATCTTACCTGTGTTCAAACCGATTCTTAGGCGCAGTTTTTGATCTGGCATGTGTGGGACGGCTAAATTAGATATGGCGTCTAATAAATCTAGGGCGAGGTTCCCTATCTCTATACAATGAAGATCTCCATTTCTTTGTGGTAAACCAGAAGCCACCATATACCCATCTCCTGTACAAAAAAGGTAAAAAAATGTAAAATGTAATTTAAACGAAACAACATAATTTCGAATGTGGCGAATATATTCTGTAGGTCCCATTTGTATTTATCAAGAAAGTGACTATGAATGGAACACTATTTGTAGGCTTAAAAATATCGAATATTCGTTGCAATTATTATACTGATGTGCTGTTAATTGACGATATTAGGTTTGTACTTTATAATATTGGGTAGTATTTGGTAGTATTTGATAAGTATTTGGTAGTATTGGGTTATTATTTGCTTGATTTGGGTGATATAGGGAGGCAAATGGAACAGCCAGACATCGTTAATCACATTTGAGGTACATTTCCCACGATATATCAAACTATTTTTGAAAAAAAAAAAAATCAAGTAATATGTTGCACCATTATGTTGTAGTTTTTGGTAGTATGTGGTGATATTGGAGTGGTATTCGGGTAGTATTGGGTAGCATTGGGTAAATCTTCCCGCCGCCTAAAAAAAGAAGTAAGAATTTGTTGGATGTAGCCTGTTTGGGCGTTTGGTATTGAAGCGTATGGTTGAGTTGTAACAGGATCAAAGATCTATTGATAACGATGACCGTGGATTTAACTCCTTTATTTTAACAGGACAGGAACACATATTAAAAATTATTACATCTATAATTCTAATAACCAATACAGGACACAGGAACATAACATATTCATATTGTAGTCATTACGGCCATCGTCCTGATTCTCGTCTGCCTCCTCCATTAACCCCCGTTCTGTCTTAAGCTTCCCAGCTCTTATAGTGAGCAACTAAAGCGCGTCTCTCTGTCTTCCCGCCTCCGTTAGGTATTTACCGGACATCATTCATAACGGCCAAGGTATTATCAACAACCTTTTTAGTATTAAACAGCCATTCACAAGTTATAATAAATATACATTAGTAGCCTTCATTTAACGGACAAACATACCATATTATCTATATTAATGAGAGGATAGTGACTAATTGACTAGATGTGTGATACACCTGCCAATACCATTGTCTCGCATCTTTGCTATGATTTTACCACTGAAAAGAGTATTTTAGCACCGATAAGAAAATGTTGCAGAGTTAATTGAATCCACGCGCAATTTTGTATGTCGCCATTTCCTTTTAAATGCTATTCTGAAGCTTTGTCAACATATTCCATTTCGCCGTAGTATATAGGTCGACATGTTCACAAAATATCGTCATGCGCTATGTCGACATAATCGGAATATGTTGACAAAACTTTCGAACAGCAATATCTTAAAGCAAGTATGTGCATTTAAAAGGCACTGGTGACCTCCAAATAAAGGGGGCGTTAATTGAATTTACTGAGCAAAAATAGTCTTTTCGGGGATAAATTAATCGCGACGATCACAATATGTAGACATATTATTTTATTAATATCGCGGTATCCATGGCGCGTTATTGACCCCTCTACGCTTCCATAGTTTAGTGAGGATTACAGACGAGGAAATTACTACTGATGTGATGTGTTATCCTGACAACTAATTAATTTAAACATCTCAACGTTTGACAGATTATGATTTGAAAACTTGGGATGGGCTCGGAACGCCCCAATTCCCAACCCATCCGCAAAAATATAGCCAAATGGAATTGGTCTTCTGCTATCGCGTCGTATTCCGTTAAAAATGCATTAGTTAAGAGTTTATATAAAGGGTTGACCATTCTTGCTATAATAATTCAAATTCAAAAATAGATGATAAAAAAATAAAATGTTGAAAATTTCAGTCAAATTACATTGTTCTGAACGGAACTATCACTGTTGGAAGTGTGGACTAGAAATAGGCAGCATTTGTGTCTGCACCGTCTATGAGAATTGGCGATCGTTTGATTGACAGACGATAACTCCACCCACATATTCTTAATTATCAAGTAACATGCTCAATGGCTATGGTAGCCTCGCTTGGCAGGCCTTTCATCACCAGTTTCCGATAGTGACATCATCGACTAACGGTAAACGTTACCTTGGTCCGCCATTTATTGATTTAAATTAAAACTGTTGGAAGATTGGACTAGAAATAGGCAACAATTGTGTCTGTACCGTCTATGAGAATTGGCGATCGTTTGATTGACAGACGATAACTCCACCCACATATTCTTAATTATCAAGTAACATGCTCAATGGCTATGGTAGCCTCGCTTGGCAGGCCTTTCATCACCAGTTTCCGATAATGACATCATCGACTAACGGTAAACGTTAGCTTGATCCGCCATTTATTGATTTAATTTTAAATGGACGACTGTTTAAATTCAAACTGTATCCAAGCAATCCGTGGGTCTACAGAGTTGATTTTGAACTTGTCGTGTAAATAAAGGTCCAATTCATAATTTCTATAACATCCGAAGTCTAAATAAAGACTTGCAATAGGCAGATTTAGCTCTTGCATAATGTATGTTTAAACAAAATAGACTGGGCTTAGACCATTATAAATGGCCACAGATCACTAATGATTTCCCTATTGACTTTCATGTTAATGCTCGTCTCTTAGACCGGCTCTAACTTTTTCCTAAATTTTCGTTGGGTAGAACGTTTTCTACCACAGATGGAGCAACACGTGGCAACCCCTTGCCCAAAGCACGTACGGGGTTCTCCATGAAAAACTTGAGATACACAAGAGTAGAGACAAGTAAACATGCAATTTTCGGCCCTACATTTCAACTTAACCAACCTCTCAACTCTTGTATCCTTCCGCCCCAAAATCATAAATATTCACCAAAACCTGGAGAAAATGTATTTTCAAACCCTTTTCTTCGATTCTAAACAACAAAAAATCGCCATGCAAAAGAGGTTGAATGGATAGGGAAAGAATGACTAAAAATAACTTTCGCCCTACATTCGTGGCATAGGAATATTTGGTGAGCATTGTCCAAATGGGTAATTTACATTCATCAACACCAGACAACACTGGTTACCGCTACCTGCAGTAATATTTGTAAATCTAAACTTGAACAGCGTTGGATGGCTTCTTTGAGCGTCATTTAGCAATTGACACACACAATAAACACAAAAATATAATATGGAACACAATTAATATTTCAATTAAAGCGATGTTTGCTTGGTAACGTTGAGAGAACCATGAACGACACTTTGCTTTAATTACTTAAAGATACATTATTCAATAGCTAAATGTGCTTATTGCAGGTCTTTCTTTATGCCTTAAATGTTATCTAAATTATTAACTCTCTAGGCCATTGGGTGCTCTTAATTTTCAACGGATTTAAAACAATCGACAGTTAATGATTTAATGATTTTTTTTTTGATTTTTTTTTTTAAAGTAGACAATGTTCTAATATCTAGCGGTAATTTGTTTCAAAGAAAGGGGGAGAGGCATAAAATCAACGGTCACCAGACATGCGTTTCGGGGTATACAATTCAAGAAGTTCTGATAAATATGCAGGACAGAGGTTGTTGAGACATTTGTATGTACGAAGCAGAATTTTAAACTTAATGCTATATTGAATCGGTAACCAGTGAAGGCTGCACAATATTGGAGTAATATGAGTCCAGATAAAAAGGAATTGAAATTATCTAGTCTAGAAGTACAGTTTTTGTTGCATCATTGTTAATGTGCTTTCTTATTTGACCGATTTTTCTTAAACAATAGTAATACACTTTACAAGTATTATTTGCGTGTGCTTCCATGTTCATATTATTATAGTCAAATGTAACGCCTATGTTTCTAGCTACATTAGAACACATAATTTGACCATCACTGACATAAATATCTTTAGTATCTGAAATCTTGTGTAACTTCTGTTTAGATCCATTGCATAAATATTCAGTTTTGTCAGAATTAAGTTTTAGAAAGTTCGATGCCATCCATGATTTAATTTCTAATATACAATTTTCTACGCTATCTTTCGTAGGAACAAAATTATCATTTAGAGGTTTAAAAGAATAGTACAGCTGTGTATCATCCGCATGCAAGTGGAATTGAAGACCATATTTCCTTACAATAGAACCAAGCGGTTTTGTATACAGACTAAAAAGTATTGGTCCTAAGACAGAACCCTGTGGTACTCCTTGAATTATTCCAGCCTTGTCAGACATGACATCATCTATAGTAATTGTATTCCATAATATGTATTTGTGTTTAGCACAAAGATCAACTCTACCTTCGTGAATGCTTCGTTATATAAGTGTTTAATAATAGAAGTGTTTAATGATACTAATTATAACATGTTATCTGAACAAGCATGTCGTCCTTAACACAGCTTCGATTTATTTTCAGTTTTATATAATTCCATTCTTAATTGGACTTTTTTTAATGGAAATGTACCTTGATTATACTTTGATATTTTGCTTTCATCCTATACTCACTTCATTAAGTTTGTCAATTAAGCATATCCCAGATGATACCGTTAATGATAATCAAATTTCTCTCTTGATTTGTGATTAATGAACACGACAACTTTTTATAGATATGTATTTGGTCCCCACGTCTCCGCTCCCTGTTTTTATTGACTTTATCGAATCTTTATCGATTAAAGTTGTTAATGAAGAATTACCCAAAATCTATATTTTAAAGAGAAAAGGCGTTAAACGACTGTTAATATTTCCATCCAATTTACAAAGAATGAGTCTCTTACATGTAGTAGCTTCTATACTATAACACATATACAGATCAGTGGTTGTCTGGCACGAGGCAGAATATGCTTACCGTATCCAGAACACTTGATAACAAATACAAATTTCGATTACTATTCTGTGTTATGCACTAAGGTTGGGGTGGGATTAAATACGCGGCCCCTGTGCATACCACTGATAGTACGTTAAAGATCCTCTGACAGTTGGGAATTAAAATAAAAGTAGACCGTTGGACCACTGTAGGTTTAAAATTTGCCGCATAGCATACTGCCTGGTGCCGAGTGGTAACCGGTTAAGGGGGGTTGGATGGTCGAATGATTAGCGCGTGCACGTTCTATCATAAGGTCTGCCAATATTAATAACCAATATTATACTATGTTTACTGTGG